GCTCGACACAAGGCCCCGTAAACAGGTGTTATGCGAAGGTTCTGAGGGTCGCGAAGCGTCCCGAACAGATCCTTCCCGAATTCGGTAGAAGGCAATTCGGTGACAACCGAAAAATCCAGAATTCGGTGCACGCAACCTAGCTCGGTGCTATAAATATAATAAAATATAGGAAAGCACCTAGCCTAGGAAATCAAGCAATTCATGCATGCATATAATCATCCTATGCTAGAAATAGCATAATAACGTAAAGGCAAGCAAGTGTAGCTGGCATAAGCCGTCGTACTCTCACAATCTTCCTCAGCATCGTAGCAGTCCTCGACCTACACCTGATGCAGCTGGACATGAAAAATGCGTTTCTGCAGAGCAAGCTGGATCGCATCCTCTACATGTACAAGCCCGACTACTTCAACGATGGCACTGGTCGCGTCTGCAAGCTGCTGAAGAGCTTGTATGGGCTGAAGCAAAGCTCGTTGATGTGGTACTCGACGCTCGACGCGGTGCTAACCGGAGCGAATTGGAAGAAGAGCCAAATCGATGAGGCGCTGCACTTCAAGGTCGGCGACGACGGGATGGCGTGCTGGGTGCTCGTCTACGTCGACGACCTGCTCACCACGAGCAGCAGCACTGCGTTGCTGAAGGAGCTGCTGGAAGCCGCCTTTGAGCTGCGCGAAATCAGCCCGGCCGAGAAGTATCTTCGGCTGGAAATCATGCGGGACCGTCCTACGAGGAAGCTGTTGCTTCACCAACAAGTCTACATCGACAAGCTGCATCGGCCTTTCATTCACAAGGAGCAGACCGGGAGAGTGCCAAAGACGCCGGTCTCCGTCGACTCCTACGCAGAGCTGGTGTTCGACGACGAAGAGTTTCAGTCATGCGAGGAAGCAGAATACCGGCAGAAGTTCGGCTCGCTGCAATTCTCGGCCACCACGGCAAGGCCCGTCATTGCCTTCGCTTGCAGCAAGCTCGGATCCGGCCTAACAATGCGGAGCGACAACGACTGGCGTGAGGTTGATCTCTGTCTGCACAACCTCGCTGAAACTCGTGACGCCGCTCTGGAGTTCGGTGGAGGACAAGAGTCGCTGTGTCTGGTTAGATATGCAGATGCCGACGACGCTGGTGACAAGCAGAATCAGACGAGCACGGACGGCTACGTTTTTGTCTTCGGAGGAGCCGCAGTCTCCTGGTCGAGCCAGCGCATCAAATGCTCGACGCTCTCGTCGACCGAATCAGAGTACGTCGCGGCTACCGAAGCTGGCAAGGAGGCTCGACGTCTGCGCTTCCTCCTTTCATAATTTTGTCTTCTCGACGGAAGGAAGCCGACTGTTCTGCACGTGGACAACCAGTCGGCGATTGCTGTTGCAGAGGGCTAGGGGCTCAAGGGCAACCTCAATCACATGGAGCGACGCTACGCCTGGCTGCAACAGATGGTGAAGCGCGGGAAGATTGCTTTGCAATACATCCCGACCTCCTAGCAGCCGGCGGATTTTCTGACAATGGCGCTGCATTTTCCGGCTTTCAACCGGTGCTCCATTGCAATCGGCCAAATGTGTCTGGCTGTCGTAGGCGACGGGGATGACGAGGTGCAGCAGTAGGTGCCGTGCCCTTCTGCACAGCTGTCGCGGTGACATGCTCGCTATGTGTTGGATGCACGCAGACAGACTTTTCTCGTATTCTATCCCTCTGGGTTCTGGGTGGACCTCGTGTGTGGGTGCTCAAGCGTGAGTTGGGCAGGGGAGTGTTGAAGAGAAAGGCCCCGCCCTCGCTTGGGTGTAGCCACTCTTGCCGTCAACGGGAAGTTCTCGACGGATTGGTCAAAGAAGTTGTTTATGCAGTTTGACGGAAGTTGCGGTCGAGCAGGCTCTGCTCGACGGAATCTGGTCGACGAGCTCTGCGCGATGCTTCTAGTCAAAGAGCTCTGGTCAAGGGGCTTTGATCGAGGAGCTCTGGTCGAGGAGCTCTGGTTGGCAAACGTTGTTCAACCGAGCAATGTCGAGCTGATCGACCGAGTTCGCAAAGTTGTGCGAAACTCTGTGGAGGCGTGCGAACTTTCGCCCAGGAGGTTTTGGTAAAGTTCGACCTGCGGAACGGCATTACGTGGTTGACGGTGCGCACCTGGCAATACCGACGACACGTTTTCGACCTGGCACCTACGCAATGTGCCTCACGGTGAAACCGCCAACCTGCACCTACTAAGTAGGTGCGCTTAGCTGCGCAGATAGGCAACCTGCGACTGCAGATAGTTACCTGCGACTGCAGATAGTCACCTGCGACTGCAGTGCTGGCAGACCGCGCGCAGAGCAACGCTGGCAGATTACTCTGCTACAGTGTTGGCAAGCTGCTCTTCTGTTGCGCTGGCATATTTCGCCCTTGCTAGGTGTCACATGCCCTTCTAGTCCTTTTGTTTTGCATGCCTCAATTGTACTATCAACCTTTCGATGCAAGTTGTTTCTTTCAACTTCCTTAGTGAAATTCTTGCCAAACTTCGGTGTGAACACAAGCAAGAAGTAAGAACGCTATTAGAGCACTACAATCACTCACACAACCCCGTGCTCTCCTCAGTAGTCCACTCCCGTTGTGTGGTGACTCTCCGCAGAGATGTGGGCACAGTACGGCACCCGCCTGGAGTATCATCGTCATACCACCCGCAAACTGACGGACAGTCAGAGCGGACAAATCAGACCATGGAGCAGTTGATTCCCACGAACTGCCTCGACTTGACTTGGGAGGATTTACTCCCCATGCTTGAATTTGCGTATAACAATGCACCGTCGGCGACAACCAATCCGGTACCACGGTCGCAACAGTTCGTTTGGAACTTCATGCAATTCGCGATAAAGCAGCAAATTTTATCCAAAAATCTAATACCGTTGCCAGCCGCTACGCTGGTCGACATGGACGGAACTTACCCTTCCACGACGGGCAGATGGTCCTCATGGACACTAAGAATATTCGCTTGCCCCAACCCGCTAAACTGCGTCCCCGCTACGTGCGACATTTCCTCATCAATCGGATGCTGACACCCGTCACGGTAAAGTTATTATTACCGAATGACTGGAAAATACGCGATGCCTTCCACGTCAGGTTGCTCGACATTACGTGGCCCCGCAGTCATCCGACATCCCCGCCCCAACATTGCGCCAAGTGTTCGGCCTGTGGCAGACCCGACACTGCAACCGTGGAAGATTCTGGCTCATCGCATACGTGCGACACCGGCAGGACGCCACGTCAATTTTCTCCTATGATGGGTGGATCGCACAAGTGAAGACGACACGTGGGTCCCGACTGACTCACTGCAAGGCCACTCAATCTTATGGGATTATCCCTCCCATCGATGCGTGCCTGATATTGACCACGTTTCTTGGGGGTGTAAGGAATTTTTACTGATGCACCTTTTATGCGTACAACTCTAACTTTCGGAGTTCAGGCTCGGTCCGACGACCTCGCCTTCCGAACGTCCTTCGCGTCGCCTTCGGGTTTCCCAAACCCCAAACCCGCACCCGACCTTGCGCTGTCCCGCGGCCTTGGCCTGGCTAGCTTTTGCTATATTAGTGCTAGTGCTCATTATTTCGACAGGCGTAATCACTTCCGTGATATTGCGTTCTAAGTGTACGCATCGAGGTCATGAAGTGGAGAACAGCGTTGTTGTGCGTTGCACAATACGATGGAGAGCACCCGTGAGCCAGTTGGATAGGGTGCCCATCGTGTCGTGAGTCGTACGTGAACTGAAGGGACACAAGTGAATTGCAAGAGCCGTCAGCCAGCCGAGTTCAATCCGACGGCTCCTGTTCAATGCCGCTATGAGATGGAATGCAGGATCCCCACCACACCAATACGGTTCAGTATCAACTATGTTCCACAACTCGGAACGGAACGGAACAGAGTCCGTCAAATCGAAGCCCAAGAGCCGACATCGTCCTGAGCAAAGCGCGGCAAATTTCATGCCACTCCCAACCCAAACTGCTCCTGCTTGCTCGGCAGCGGGTCTGGTCTGGTCACCTCACCTCCCCTTCTCCCTAGCTTACGCAGCAATTTGTCATTCCACGGCAAACTCAACCGCTTTGCCAGCAGACCCATCGCATTCCTAGGAGTTGTCCAGCTTCAGCTGTACAATCGACGGTGGAGCGCTGATTACATCTTGCTGATGACGATCTCGGTCGTAGATTTCTCCTCCGTCGACATTACCGAAGCACCCTTTCCAGTTCCCGCAGAGCAGAGCACTGTGGATGCCATCTGTAGGATGCCCATCCCTAGGCAGCAGCTTTGTCATCAGTGCGCCTGGCCAGACGAATCGCCACCGACTGAAAGCTTTCATTGCTTTCGGTGTGGCTGCCTGACGAGAACGCCTTGAGCGCCTTTGCAGGAAGTTTTCTGTAGATCCATCAATGAGTGTACAGTACAGCATATAGTTCTCCCTTGTAATGGGATGTATGGTAGCGTTGTTGTCGGACAAGATACAGATCGGACGGTGGAGAATGTTAGGCTGCTTACTCAGGGGGCCAGCGCGAGTAGTCCAGGAAATCCCATTCGCAGATATTTCCTGTCGCTCTGATATGAAACAGCCGCTGTTTGGAACGACCCGCAAGCATTCGACTGGCAAACACCAAACGGCGCGATCCAGGAGTAACGAACAGAAAAAGCGTTGCCAAATTAACGGTGCAGATCCTATTTGCTAATTCAGCCGCCATGGTGCCATCAACGCCTGGGCTTGCGCTTTTCCGAGCAGCTTTTAGCCCCACTTCGATGCTGCTACGACGAGCAGAAAAGCTAAATCAGCAGAGATATCGTCAGGATCAGACGAGAGATAAACCAAGGCATTTACGAGAAAGGAGCTTCGTATCCATTGCTGTCACATGCAGCTTGGTGATAGTTTCGCCAATTCTTAGGTCCGTTTCGAGTCCCCTTAGTCATCACGAGCCGAGATACGATTGCAAGGTCTTCTTAACAAAGAAGCCTTTGTTTCCAGTTCTCTCTTTTGAAAGCCACAGCGACATATAACGAGGATGCCGGAGCCAAGCGCCGTGTGGCTGGTGGACATCAGCAAGACCATCGAATCCGCCATTGGCGCTCTCGCGCGCGCTAACCTCGATGCTAAGAGCCACAACGGCAGAGTACAACTTGTACTCGTTACAGTCACAGCAGGTACGCCGATTCTCCACCCTGTCACCCTCTTCCCCCAAAATCGTTTTTCTTGATCCTATTCCTTCGCCTGTACTCCCTTCCACAGTCCCACATCCCGACCTCTCTCCCCGTCTCTCTCCCCACATCCTTCCCCCCCACATGATCTAAGCCCCGAAAGTCATTCATTCCTGCATACCCTAATCCCACCCCCTTCCCCTCCCCTCTACTTTCCCTTCTCCCTTCTCCTCCTCTTATTCCGTTTTTGTTCCTTTCACCAGGCATGAGCGGGAGTGCCTCACCAGCGCACGGCATGGCGGGGAAGATGTCATTCGCGCGGCAGCTGCAGGCACAGGCGACGAAGAGCGAGGAGGACGAGGTCTACCCCACCTCCGGCCACAAGCAGAGCGCTGCAGACCTTGCCTCGCCCTCGGTAAGCAAGCCGGTTTGTTATGCACCCCTACCCCCCCTCCCTCGGCTCCCACCCTCCCCTTACCCCCCCCACCCGCCTTCCCCCCCCCTTCCCCCCCTTCATCCTTTTCCCTCGTTCTTTAGAACAGGACTATGTCACCTGCCGATGCGCTATTCACCTTGTTCCACAGCCTTCTTCACGGATTTCGTTCTCTAATGTCTTGAGTCGTCCTCCTAATTCGTGTCCCAACCGCCTCCCTTCTTCCCTCCACTGCTGTGCTGTGTTCCTGCGCCCCTCTCAACCCACAGGCGCGTCCGGCCATCACGATGCACACAGAGGCGGCAGAGGTGACTTTTGAGTGGACCCAAAGATCGCTGCTTGGCGTGCTTCTTCTTGCCCTTGCGTCCGCCTCGCCCCTCAGGCACGCCCCGCCATCACGATGCACACAGAGGCAGCGGAGGCAGTGGGAGCGAGGGATGTGCATCGCAGCTGTCAAGTTGCAATATTTTCATTCTCTCTTCGTGCCTTTCGACCACCCCCCTCCTCCCCACCACTGCGGTGCTGTGTTCCTCCTCTCCTTGTCCGTCCCTCTAACCCACAGACACGCCCAGCCATTACGATGCACACGGAGGCAGCGGAGGCATGGGAGAGAGGGCTGTGCATCGCAGCCGTCAAGTTCAAGGCGCAGCGGCTCTACATCAGTAACACGCCGCCCCCTAAGAAGGCAAGGTGCGTGGCCTCCCTCTTCCCTGTGCCGACTTAGACCGCGAACCAGCCGTGAGTCGTCTCAGCGGATCAAGGTGCAGCGGCTCTACATCAGCAACACGCCGCCCCCTAAGAAGGCCAGGTGCGTGGCCTTTCACTGTTGCATCCACCGTGAGGTGCCTCAGTCACAAACGCCAGTAGACAGCGTACACAGAGAGCCGTCATTTGCTCTCTCGTTTTTCCTCTGAGTCTTCATGTCTTCTTTTCCCAAACCTCTCCTTTCCAATTAGAGCCGCTGAAAGGGTCAGGTCAGGATTCATTATGCCGCCTCTTCTGCTCCCTTTCCCCTGCGCCTCCTGCAGTCGGCGCCTGTTCCGGAAGCATGAGCCTGCACCAATCATGGATTTCCCGCTGGACCTCCTCCCCTCCACCTGCACGCTGCTCATCCCCAAGGCCGACAAGCTCATCACGCTCCAGGGCCACCTCAACGCATCCGCACTGTCCATCGAAACCCTCCTCCTGATCAACGGCCTCAGTGCTCCCTCAGCGCTGCACAGCTTCAACGGCAGCAGAGGCCCGTCGCCCTCCCGCAAGGGCCTGCCTCCTCTCTCCCCTCGAGGTTTCACCCCGCGCCTCTTCTCCCCGCGTACAGCCTCCCCCACTGATACCACTGACCCCCAGCTGGGGAACCCCCACCACCAGGCGAATTCTGCTTTTCAAGGGAATTCCCTCCAAGGGGTTTCCCACCGTGCGGAGGTGTATCGGCCGGGATTGCCGCCGTCGCCGCCAGCTGTTTGCTCGCCGTCCACTGCAGCAGCCGTGGCGTATTCTGCCGCACTGGCCTCAGGCCCAACAGGCACTTCATCGCTCTCCTCATCAGCAGCCGCAGCAGCAGCAGGAGCAGCAGGGGTGACTGGGATCGACCCGCGTGTGCAACCCCCATCTCCGCGCATCCACTTCCGCCCCTTCAACGTGTCGGCCTCGTTCGCCTCGCGCTCCATCAAGCGTCGCATCCCCTCCGCCTCCATGCGCGCTGCCTTTGTGCGCCGCATGCTCAGCCCCAGCGGTGCCCGCCGCGGCAGGGCAGCGGGCGCTGACAGCTCTGACGGTGACGACAGCAGTGGCATCGGCAGCAGCCACCACTTTTTCAACCGTGCTAGAGGGTTCTCCCTCAGTGGCAGTTTCGGCAGCCACAGCAGGGTCAGTGCTGGGGCATCTGGAGCAGCTGCTGGTGCTGGTGCTGGTGGTGGTGCTGGCGCTGGTGGTGGTGCTGGTAGTGGGGAGCTGCTGAGGGCGCGGCTGCAGAGGCAGAACTCGTTTTCCAATCTCGAGGCTCTCATGGCTGCTGGCACTTGCTCCGGCACCTTTGCTGTCGGCTCCGGCGCCCCCCTGCTCGGCACTGGCGGTTACTACGGTGACACTGATTTCCCCACCACTGCTTCTAATGGTGTCGCTGCCGCTGCTGCTGCTAGTGCTGCTGCTGGTGCTGGAGGTGTTGCTGCTGGTGCCGGTGCGGGTGGGTTCAGTGGGGGTTCGTTGGCAGACGCGGTGCAGAGGGCGGCGAGGGCGGGGGCGATGGCGGGGAGGGGGCGCAGCATGATACCCCAGTCGGAGCCGCTGTGCCTGGGCATGTCGGCTGCTGTTCTCATGGACGACTCGGATGATGAGGACGAGGAGGAGGAGAGAGGGAGCGAGATGGGGAGCGAGAGGGGTGAGGAGAGTGGGAGTGAGCGAGGAAGGAGTGAGAAGGCCGGGAGGCTTGGACTACCATTGAATCTGGGCGCGCGACCGCCAACACCTCCCAAATCCCCTGTGGCACGGTCCATGGCAAGCTGCCCTGTCAGCAGCGCTGCCAGCATTCCCGAGCTGGAGGAGGGCGAGGAGGAAGAGGACGAGGAGGATGCAGGGAACAAGGTCCCGCAACGCACCACAGCTAGCCACAGCATGAGCATGGCACAGCCTGCGCATCAAGCCAGCTTCACGGGCTCGGATAGAGGTTCGGCTGGACCGTCTCCTCCATCCAACCCGCCCGCCACACCACCCCGGACTCACATTTCCTCTCGCGCGTTTCCCAACCGCCCCTCTCCACCATCTGCCCTCTCTGCCCTCCCCAATTCTCCTCCTATTTCCACTTCCTCCAAATCGCCTCCCCCTCAGGCACCCATAGCCCTTCTCATCCCCAGCAACCCTCTTGAGACTCTTGAGACGGCGTTCAGCAGCCCACGGTTATCCCTCTCACCGTCCAGCCCCCATTACTCTGCGCAAGCTCCCACCACCCCTCGCCTGCCCAAGTCACCTGGTACCCCCACCAGCTTTCCCACCCAAGCACCCACCACGCCTCGCCTACCCAAGGCGTTTTCCAACCCCAACCCGCCCACAACCCCACCCGGACTTGCCCTGACCAAATCCTCCTCCATCTCGGTTCTTGCCCAGCTGCCCTCCAGCCCTAAGGGTGTGTTGGGTGCCGTGCACATGCCCTCCACCCCTCTGGGTGTGCTGGGGGCTGCGCACATGCCATGCACCCCTGAGGCCATGCAGTTGCCCTCCACGCCTCGGCCTGCGCTGGCACCTCTGTGTGGGGCAGCCCTTGACTTGTCTCACGACTCGCCTCAGGAGTCGCTTCAAGACTCCGCATACGCTTCTCTCCCCGAGGTGGAGAGCCCCTGCAGCATCAGCAGCCGCAGCAGCAGCGGCGGTACCACCAGTCAGCGCAACAACTGGAGTAGCAGTAACCGCCACAGGGGCAGTTTGGACAGTGCAGCCAGGGAGAGGGAGAGGGAGAGGCACAGGGTGAAGGGGGCGGAGGAGCAGGAGGAGGGTATCACGTTTGTCACTGGCGAGTTCTCAACCAAGGTAAGCTGTCTATCCCACACTATTCCCCCTCCAGCAGCCTCTCAGCCTGGTTGCCAGTCCACTCCTCATGCAGCAGCAAACATATTTAGATTTGAGTGCACTCCTCACCAGTGCAAAATGCTCACTCTACACTATCCCGTTCCCCCATTCTCCTTTTCCTTTTCCCTTCCCCCTTTCCACTTCCCCATTTCTCTCCCCCTTCCTTTTCTCCCACAGTATTCCTCCTCCAGCAGCCTCTCAGCCTGGTCGCCTGCTCGCTCTGAGGCCAGCAGTGCCTCCCTTCTCTTCCGAACCGAATCCCGAACCTCCACCGAGTCCTCCCGACCCTCCACCGAGTGCCGGACCTTCTCCCGAGCCGAGATCCTCCAGGCCACCGACCACTTCTCCCCGAAAACCATCCTCACTAAAACCGTCCTCGGTACCCTCCACAAGGGCACGCTCTTCGGCTCTACCGTCGCCGTGAAACGCCTCGAGCACGCAAGCTCATGCGAGGAAGAAGATTTTCAGCGAGAAGTGAGCATACTGTCCAAAGTTCGCCACCCGCACGTGGCGCTCATGATGGGGCAGTGCCCCGAGGAGCGCTGCATAGTCTACGAGCACCTCCCAGGCGGCTCCCTCCTCGAGCGCCTCGCCAAAACCCCCGGCACCAAGCCGTGGGCCCCGCTGACATGGCACGACCGGATCCGCGTGTCGTGCGAGCTGGCGGCAGCCCTGGTGTTCCTCCACTGCCACGACCCGCCCATCGTCCACGGGGACTTGCGTCCGGAAAATATCCTTCTGGACCGAAACAAGCGCAGCAAGGTGGGCGATGTGGGGATTGCTCAGTTCGTGGGGCAGGGCGATGTGCTGCCTGAAACGTGGCGTCTGTCTGGGTCTGTCGGGTACATAGACCCGTCTGAGATGCAGACCGGGGAGGTGACGGGGAGGAGCGATGTGTATGCGCTGGGGTTGATAATCCTCCAGCTGCTTCTTGGGCAGCCGAATATCCGCGCGCTGCACAAGCAGCTGATGCCATTCAAGCGGGCGGGCGGGGCGGTGGAGGCAGCCGTTGATGAGCTGATGTGCTGTTTGGATCCTGCGGCTGGGATTTGGCCGCGGAAGGTGGCTGAGAGGATGCTGGCAATGGCGCTGCTGTGCGTGCTGAACGATGCTGAGGCCCGGCCGGACTTTGTGGGGTGTGTGTTTCCGGAGCTGAGGCATGTGGGGCAGTGGGCCGAGGCGGAGAGGAAGAGGCGGTGCCCGGGGCAGGAGGAGAAGCTGATGTGCCCCTTGAGCAAGGTGAGACTAGGGTTTTTGCTGGTCACACGGTTTGTGTTGTGAAGTGACTCAGATTAGATGTCACCTGGCGTGCGCTGCAGTAAGGTACAGTACCAACCTGACCGTGTCCCTCTCAGGCCTGTGAATTCTATCATGCCTTGCCTGCTATTTGTGTGTGATGCACCTGCCTCAACTTTCTCCACCCTGCCTGACACTGTCTCTCTTTATCCTTGTGTGGGTGCTGACAGACACGAATGCAGGACCCTGTGATTGCTGCTGATGGCTACACATACGAGAGGAGGTTTATAGAGGAGTGGTTCAAGGGCAGCACGGTCTCCCCCAAGACTGGCAAGCCTCTCTCTCACAAGGCGCTGATTCCGAACCTCACTATACTAGCATTTGTGAACAGCTAATTGTGTTTGTAGGATGATGTTTGTTCTGGTTGTGTTGTGCCATAGAATTTTGTTTTCTGTATTGCTAGAAAGGCATGATGCCGGCGTTGCGGAAGCTAGTTTGTAGAAAGAGCAAGGCTGGAAGACCCTGAATGGTTGAAACCAGAATGAGAATAACGGAGTTGACTGATGCACTGGAATGACAGGGCAGGGTATTTATCAGCAGCTAACCCCCTCAGGATGGCCCTATCCATACCAATAATTATACCCGCCAATAATTCTTACCCTCCAATAATTCTAGACTCCAATAATTCTGGCCCTCCAATAATTCTACAATTATTGGAGGGCTGGGAGTCTTATAAAGGAACACTACAGTAAAATCTAACAGCATTTGTATTATCTTATGTTTGTATATTCAACACTCCCCCTTGCTGTAGGTTTTACTGAGTTTTCTCTTGGAGGACACCTGTAAACGGCGTTGATTGCGGTAGTAATTTTGGTTACGGCGTTGATTGCGGAGAGGATTGGGGTGACTGTTGTGTTCGAGGATCACGTCAGCGATGATCGCGGCGACCTGATTTTGGTGTAGGGTTTCCGTTGAAACAGCATCGGGTGGGTAGGTCAAGATTGTTGGAAACAATGGAACTTAAACGCTTCAGCAGTGTCGAAACCTACACCGAAGCACCTGCGAGTCAACCTACACCGAAGCATTGCACCAGAAGCGAGGCAACCTACACCGAAGCACCTGCGAGTCAACCCTCGGAGGTTGAATCGGCTACAGGAAGTTACGCGAAAGTCAAAGGTCGCTGACCCTTGACCTGACAAGAACAGCGCGACAGTTAAGGACACACAACTGACTCGTTACAGAGCAGTTGCCCGAGTCGCACTGTATCGAACCGCAACAGCAACAATAAAAGCAGTTATAACCGTATCTCTTCATATTCCCTGTATTATTATATAAGCTTGTATCCTTTCACTATAATTCAATCTACTTTGCTCTCACACACTAGTGCAAGGTCGGTTCACAAAGCTTCATTAAACGCTTCCGCTATTACAAAGTATCCTACCCAGAGTTATCCTCTGCAAAGATCCTTAAGGGCTTCTCAGCCCAACATGGTATGAAAGCTGACAGGGGAAACTCTACCTTTTCAAGATCATTACAAGACATGGCAACAAACAAGGAAAGGAGCTCCCCTAATGGCTCCTCGGGCACTACTACTCCACCGCCAGCCTCTGGCCTGCAGACAGAGGAAGGCACGGCAGCAAGACCAAGGGGAACGTCAACCGAGACCCCCACGAACCATCCTTCTGACTTTGATCAGAGCATGATGGAGAAATTTTTCTCCTTCATGTCCTTCTACGAGCAACACCAGCAGTCGGGACCTGCACAGACACACAACAGCAACAACGGAGCGACACCCATGAGCCTTGACGGGTCGTCATATGCGCGAGGGAATCAACAGCAACAACCCACCTTCGCCCCGTACGAGCGCGGGTCGATCAGCTTCCTGCCTCAACCTCCACCTGCGCAAGACAAACCAATGGACGCATTACAAGTTCAGTCGCAATTCGCGCATGTCTTGAAACTGCAAACATCAAGACCTTTTGACGGAAAGGACTTCTTCACCTGGTCCTTTGAATTCGAGCTAATGATGGAGGGCGCGCAGATACTCGGTTTCCTCGACGGATCCCTGCAATATCCAGCAAACGGCACACAGTATGAGAAGCAGCAGTATACGTATCAATCGATGATGGCGTATACTATTCTACTGAGAAACATCACACCAACTCAGCAGCAGAACATTCGCTCTTACCGGACCTTCGGCAACTCGGCGGAACTCGCGTATGGCCATCTGAAGAACCTGTATCAAGCAACAGACAGTGTAAACCAGAGCAGGTTAATGGCGCAGTTGACAACAGTTGAAATGAAACCAGGAGAAAAGGGGTTGGCGTATATCAGCCGATGTCGCGAATTGCGCGACAAGCTTCTTCGATGCGGAGGATCAATCTCTGAAGACGCCTTCGTAACAGTCATCATCGGTGGCCTCGGTCCTCAGTGGCGCGCCACCAAAGCAATTCTTCGAGCCCACGGAAGAATTTCTGAAGCAGCACTCTGCGCCGAAATACACGCCGAGCAGCAGGACATGGATCTGCAAGAAGAACGACACAAACGAAAGACGACAACGTCAGAATTCGCTTTCCATACCCAGCGACGACACAACAACTACAACAACCGACAGCAGCAGCCGAAGCCAGTACCTCCGTTTTGTCACATCTGCAAGACATCAGGGCACCCACGCACGCACTGCCCGAATCGACAACAGTTAACTACCTTGCAGCGGCAACTACGACCTTCAAGCAGTCAAGTGACTTCAACACAGGCGAACCCGACGACTCAGGTCCAAGCCTCAACTTCACCGGGACAACCTGCACAAGGAGCAAAAAACATCATCAGCTGCATGGCAAGACTGAGCGAATCCTGCATCACCGAGTCACCGCCACATTACTCACCAGAAGACCATCTCGACAACACCACACCTCGCCGCGAAGCACTCGAACCAAATCCAACGTACGCCGCCATCGCCCAAAGCGAGCCTTCAGGGACAGACACGTGGTTCTTGGACAGCTGTTGCGGACAGCACATGTGCCCTTCAGGACGCTTCGTACAACAAGAATACCAGCTTCAACGGGAAGTCGTCATTACCGTCGCCAACAACCAGAACCTGCGCACACGACGGCAAGGAATCGTACAACTTCAGTCGCGAGAGACAAACGTCATACTACAGATGTCAAAGGTTTTAATTGCAGAAGGCCTCGGCTACAACTTACTGAGTGTCAGTCAGCTGATGGCGAAAGGTATTCACCTCGAAGCAGACAGCACCATCCAGGAGTTCAAGTTGTACCTGTTGAGATTAGAGAGAGAATGTGTGCACTATGAAATGAAACAAGTACAAGTACCAACCCTAATTGGGTTGTACCCCCTATGGGCTACCCCACTACAGCCTAAATATATGCATCAGCAATATAATCATCTAACACACCCCCATAGGCAAAGTGGGGGAGAGCAAGGGGTCACAAGACCAGTCAAGCAAAGCAAAGCAAAGCAAAGCAAGCTCAGGGTGGATCTCAAGGATACCACACAAATTCCGAGCACAAGATCAAGGCCACAAGGCCAGTTCACATGCAGCATAGCATATATATATAACAGTGCTAAACAAGCAAGAGCAAGGATATATATATGCAGCAGTACAAGCAAGGTCAAGAGGTAAGCAAGTGAGGCCCAGTGGGCACAAGGCCTAGCAGAGTGCAAAAGCGCTGTTGGTCACAAGGCGGAAGTGCCTTGGTGAACACATCAGCAGTGTTGGCCTCAGTGGCCACGAAACGCAGGCGAAGCTGACCACGCTGCTGCAGCTCTCGAGCAAGGAAGTAGCGCAGAGCAATGTGCTTCGTCCTGTGCTCCAGTATGTGCTCCTGACACAAGGCAATGGTTGCCTTGTTGTCGACGTACAGCACTGGAGGAGAACGAGGCCGCTCTCCAAGGTCAGTCAGTAGGTAGGTGAGCCAGCGAAGCTCCTGGGCAGCCATGGCCGTGGCGTAGATCTCAGCCTCACAGCTGGAGCTGAGAACAGAAGAAGAGCGAGTAGAGCGCCAAGAGACAGAGCCAGAGCCAAGACTGAAGGTGTAACCCTGAGACGACCGCTGAGTAGCCTGGTCGTCAGCCCAAGAAGCGTCTGAGTGCCCAGTGAGCACAGGCCGCTCTCGCCCTCCAAGCACTAGCCCCATGCCGGACGTACTGCACAAGTAGCGCAACACCCTCTTAGCTGCATCCATGTGCTCCTTCCGGTGACGGCCGGGAGCAACATAGCGTGCTAAGATGCTGAGAGGTTATGCGAGGTCAGGTCGAGTGCAGGTCATCAGGTACATGAGGCAGCCCACAAGCTCTGGATACGGACCACTCGACTCTACGGACTCATCCGAAGGCAGAGCTGAGAGCGAGTGTCCCGTAGGCAGAGGAGTGGACTGAGGCGAGGAGTACGTGAAGCCGAAGCGCTGAAGGACCTGCTGCACCATGTGTGACTGAGTCAGGGTAATGGTGCGGCGTGCTCTGTCCCGGGTGATCCGCAAGCCAAGATAGCTTGCCAGTTCACCCAGGTCTGTGCACGTGTGTCTCTTCTGCAGCTCGGACTTCACGTGGGCGAGTGCGGCAGTGTCCGTAGTGGCAAAGACCAAGTCGTCGACGTACAAGAGGATATAGAACGGCGGCAGCGAGGTGTGGGTGCGCAGAAACAGCGACGGGTCAGCAGTAGAAGGAGCAAACCCAAGAGCCGCAAGTGTAGTCCTCAGTGTGTCGTGCCACTCACGCGGCGCCTGGCGGAGACCGTAGACTGGCCGCCGGAGGCTCCACTGGGTACCAGGAGGGAACGACCCAGTGAAGCCAGGAGGGAGGCGCAGCCAGATCTCCTTGTGCAGGCGGCCCTGCAGGAAAGCAGTGCTGAAGTCAAGAGAGTGTAGCTCGTAGTCACGCTGAGCAGCGACGTGCAGTAGAACCCGAAGAGTGGTCATCTTCGGGGTAGGGGAGAAGGTCTGAAAGAAGTCAACTCCCTGTCGCTGACTGAAGCCACGAGCCACGTAGCGCGCCTTGAAGACAGGCGGAGAACCCGGCGGCCGCTTCACCCTGAAGATCCACATGCCACTGACAATGTTCGCCCCAGGAGGGGGAACAGCGTCAACGTAGGTGCCTGTGGACTTCAAGGAAGCCATCTCTGCGTCCATGGCTGACTGCCACTGAGAGGAGTAGGGACCGGCCATCGCCTCTGCGTAAGAGCGTGGGGTCGGGATGTCTAGAGCATCCGGGTCTCCCTCAGGGGCAACAAGCATGGACACGAGATGGGGCAAAGCGGCGGCAAAGCACTGGAACTCCTCCTGCCTGTCCTCAAGGACGTCCGTGCCAAGAGCACAGTCACCCCCGACGGACGGAGGACAGGCAGACGCAGACGCAGCAGACGCAGACTCAGCAGACT